AAATAAAAATTAATTAAATTTACAAATGGCAGGACCTAGATTTTAAGAACCTATGTACAAGCAAGATCTGTCTTTTATACAGGTAACGGGAGTGCTCCTAATCTCAGCTCGTTACCTGTATAAAAGACACCTGTCCACAGGAGCAATCAATCAATCAGATTCCACCATGGCCAAGACCAAAGAGCTGTCCAAGGATGTCAGGGACAAGATTTTAGACCTACACAAGGCTGAAATGGGCTACAAGACCATCGCCAAGCAGCTTGGTGAGAAGGTGACAACAATTGGTGCGATTATTCGCAAATGGAAGAAACACAAAATAACGGGTAGTCTCCCTTGCTCTGGTGCTCCATGCAAGATCTCACCTTGTGGAGTTTCAATGATGATCATAAGGAATCAGCTCAGAACTACATGGGAGGATCTTGTTAATGATCCCAAGGCAGCTGGGACCATAGTCACCAAGAAAACAATTGGTAACACACTAAACCGTGAAGGACTGAAATCCTGCAGCGACCTCAAGGTCCCCCTGCTCAAGAAAGCACATGTACAGGACCGTCTTAAGTTTGCCAATAAACATCTGAATGATTCAGAGGAGAACTGGGTGAAAAGTGTTGTGGTCAGATGAGACCAAAATCAAGCTTTTTGGCATCAACTCAACTCGCCGTGTTTGGAGGAGGAGGAATGCTGCCTATGACACCAAGAACACCATCCCCACCGATAAACATGGAGCTGGAAATATTATGCCTTCAGGGTGTTTTTCTGTTAAGGGGACAGGACAACTGCACCGCATCAAATGGACGACGGACGGCGCCACGTACCGTCAAATCTTGGGTGCAAACCTTCTTCCCTCAGCCAGAGCATTGAAAATGGGTTGTGGATGGGTATTCCATCGTGACAATGACCCAAAACACACAGCTAAGGCAACACAGGAGTGGCTCAAGAAGAAGCACATTAAGGTCTCCAGACCTTAATCCCATAGAAAATATGTGGCGGGAGCTGAAGATTCAAGTTGCCAAACATCAGCCTGGAAACCTTAATGACTTGGAGGAGGCAAAGAGGAGTAAGACAAAATCCCTCCTGAGATGTGTGCAAACCTGGTGGCCAACTACAAGAAACGTCTGACCTCTGTGGTTGCCAACAAGGGTTTTGCCACCAAGTATTAAGTCGAAGGGGTCAAATACTTATTTCACTCATTGACATGCAGATCAATTTATAACTTTTTTACATGCATTTTTCTTGATTTGTTTTTTTTTTTTTTTTGTTATTCTGTCTCTCATTGTTAAAAATACACCTACCATTAAATTATAGATTGATCATTTCTTTGTCAGTGGGCAAAACGTTCAAAATCAGAAGGGGATCAAATACTTTTTTCCCTCACTGATTGTGTGTCATGGGCTACAGTGTGAAGAGTATAGAGCTGTAGTGCAAGAGAGTTAGGGGATGTAGTGTGGAAGTATAGGGCTGTAGTGTGGGAGGATGGGGTCATAGTATAGAGGGTAGAGGTTGTAGAGTAGAGGGAGATAGGGGCTGTATAATGGAAGGATGGGGCTGTAGTATAGAGGGTAGAGGTTGTAGAGTAGAGGGAGATAGGGGCTGTAATATGGAAGGGTGGGGCTGTAGTATAGAGGGTAGAGGTTGTAGAGTAGAGGGAGATAGGGTCTGTATAATGGAAGGATGGGGCTGTAGTATAGAGGGTAGAGGTTGTAGAGTAGAGGGAGATAGGGGCTGTAATATGGAAGGATGGGGCTGTAGTATAGAGGGGAGGTTGTAGAGTAGAGGGAGATAGGAGCTGTAATATGGAAGGATGGGGCTGTAGTACAGTAGAGGGAGATAGTAGTGAGCAGAGTGGAGTATAGTGGGCCTGTACTATGAAGGGTAATGTGGTATAGGAGGGTGATGCCAGAGGAGGGAGATAGCCGGGCTGGGTAATATGGAAGGATGGGGCCAGGCATAGAGGGGTAGAGGCCAGAGAGGAGGAGATAGGTTTCGTAATATGGAAGGATAACAGTATTGTGAGGGCAGGAGGCCTGTGAGCAGGAGGGAGATAGGGGCTGTACATGGAAGGGGCAAGTGGGGGCTGTGTGTATAGGAGGGCAGAGGTTGTGGCATAGGAGGGAGATACGGGCTGCACATGGAAGGATGGGGCTGTAGTATAGAGGGTAGAGGTTGTAGAGTAGAGGGAGATAGGGGGTGTAATATGGAAGGGTGGGGCTGTAGTATAGAGGGGAGGTTGTAGAGTAGAGGGAGATAGGGGCTGTAATATGGAAGGATGGGGCTGTAGTATAGAGGGAAGGTTGTAGAGTAGAGGGAGATAGGGGCTGTAATATGGAAGGGTGGGGCTGTGGTATAGAGGGTAGAGGTTGTAGAGTAGAGGGAGATAGCGGCTGTAATATGGAAGGATGGGGCTGTAGTATAGAGGGTAGAGGTTGTAGAGTAGAGGGAGATAGGGGTGTAATATGGAAGGATGGGGCTGTAGTATAGAGGGTAGAGGTTGTAGAGTAGAGGGAGATAGGGGCTGTAATATGGAAGGATGGGGCTGTAGTGTAGAGGGGTATAGGAAGTAGTGTAGATAAGGATTGAGACTGTAGTGAGGGGGATAAGGGTCTGTACTGTATAGGTGTAGTGGGGACTGTAATGTAATGGGAGACAGGGATTGTAGAGTATGGAGTCAAATTTGATTGGATGAGCCTAACGTTATCCATTGTGTCTGTGTGAGATATCACGTGAAGTGGAGCAGCAGAGGAGACAGAGCACTGGAAACCATTGAGTAAAATCTTTTAAACTTGAATTTTTGCTAGTAAAGGTGGGGTGCACAAAAGGGAACTCATAGTCCCAAAATAACTTTTTTTCTTGCTACTCTGGTTTTACATTAGAACATCACTTTGAATTCCCTGCAAATTTCACTTTAGTGAATTACCCTATAAAAAGAAAGTGAGACAAACTGTAGAGAATCAGTGGAGTAGAGCAAACAGAGAAAAACATAAACAGACAGCAACCTAGTGTAAAAAGAAACAGAGGAATATGGGGGATAAAAGCTGATGAGAGAGAACTCGAATACACAGATTGCTAAGAGAGAGGAATGAACACTACATATGGAGGAAAAGAACAACTGATCAGACCAAAGTATAACTTGAAAAATTCAGGCAAAAGTAGACAATTTAGAAGAATTCTCCAACGCCGCTACAGTTACAGCTCAGCTGTTTTGCTTACAATTATTTATTTGCAATTCAGAGTTTAGTGGAAGAAATCTCTGAGAGAAATGTAGGTGAACTGATAGGGGCTGGCACCAAAATGCCTAGGGTAGCAAAAATCCTTGCACGGCCCAGTTGAGTTCCGCGGTCTTTTTTGCTGCCATCGCGTTTGCCAGGCTGCTCTGGTCTCCCTGCCTGTCTCCGGTTTCCTTAGTGAGTTTTAGCTGGCAGTGGAAGCAGCACACGGTAAGAGACACAGTATGTCATATTCCCTTTGTGTCGCTATCTAAACGCTGCTTCCACTACCAGCTGACTCCTTGACACATCGAAAAGAACAGGCATGTGGATAGCAGAACATAATAGACATACCAAGTTTAGCATGGAGGCAGAGCTTCTGGCAGCAGAGGTGGGTGCAACATGTTTTCTCATAGTCTATAGTTGCATGAAAGGAGGCAATCTTTGGACCAATGAGACCATTTTAATCCATTGACAAAACAGGCTTCTGTACGTCCATGCGTACTCCTCAGTCTCCACATTCAACCATCACATGAGTAAGTGGATTATCTCTGGATTAAGCATTTTGGCAGACTGAAGAAAGAGTTTCAGAAAAAAACCTTATGGTGTATTTTATTCCTTCATCTCATTGAAAATGCATTGTGCTTACTCACATACACAATTAAGCCCTGCACTCAAACTCCAACTACTCCTGGGCAGCAACAATGACTATAGTACAGCAACAACCCCCCCCAAAAAAGATAATTGCTCACAACCCCAAATCACTTTTGCAATTTTTTATTTTTTTTTTGGCATTGTGCATACTATTTGTACAGTTTACAAGTTTACAGCGGACCATGAGCCATCTGGTATTAATGCAAATTTAACGCGGTCATTCGCTACTTCATGGGCTGCAGAGGGCGAATCGTTTCTTGAGAGCATTTGAAGAACAACAAACTTGACCTCACTGAACTACGTTCTTCAGCATTACAGGCTGAATGTTTCCTTGCCCACCCAAGTCATTACTACTGTTTATCTGCTCAGTATTTTCTTTTTGTTTAAATTTTGTTATTCCTCCCATTTTTATTGCTAGCGTATTATGCAGAAGTTAATGCTTCCATGATTAGCCAAGGACAAAGCAAATGTTCCAATACTTAAAGTCATTTTATTTTCATGGTTTTATCCAGAGTGCCATCATGGCTTCTGCCTATACCTTATTACCATGCTTCTACAGCTACTCAAGATTTTGGATCGTCCAGGAGCGGAATTCTATCCCTATTGTACAGCGTTTTGGAATTTGTTTAATAATAATCATAGTTCTGTATATACCATATTTTGCTTTAAAAATATCCTGTGATTTCCCAGCATAGTATTCCTATAGAATTACCCTTACAGCGGATGTGACAGCACGCACCGCAGCTATATGAACATTTGTTTATCCAACCTGTTAAAAATGTAGGTAATTGCTGTGAGATCACCTTCCTTATCTCCTTTTCCTCCAATTAGTGCATGCATAGCCATTTTCAGGTTTATCAGCCTGTTTAAACAAAGCAAGGTCAAATGATTGTACATGGCTGACTAGACTTTACAGCTTAAAGCAGATATATATTTTCTAATGCTAGCAGGTAGCACTTGGAATGGAATTTAACACTGTATAACCAAATGAGCAATATATTCAATATTTTTTTTTAAGTCACTGCCACTAAAGGCGTTAAGTTACGGGGACATCATCTTTTAAAACTGCTGCCAATGTTTAGATGTTTCTTTGTCTAATCATTTGTTTCTTCTTTGTAGCTACCGTAAGTAAATCGGTTTTTTTTTTCCACCTATCTGTATTGCTACTGTACCATTGGCCTCTAATTGTTGTAGATTATATTTTCTAACCAGGAGGTTGGACAGGCAATGTAATCCAGTGTAACAGGGGTATTTTAGGATGTAATATAGACTACTGTATATAGGAGACTCTTAAAGAGGCACTATCACTTGTGAGGTCTTTACATTTTTGGGGAATATTTCTGCTTGTGTGGGGGTAGTAGAAGGAGATGCATATAAGGGAACATACTTACCGTATGCTGTCCCTCTCTCACTTTCTCATTGCCATACTTCTTTGGTAACTGCCAAATTTATCTACTAGGAGCTAACTTCACTACTGTACTCTTGCACGGGCCTGTAAGAGCACTTTGACTGGAATTGCGTAGCGTGAGAAAGCCCTTATTATGGTGTCTCACACCTTACAAGCACATTT